TGGCCAGGCTGGTCTCAAACTCCTGACCTCATGATCCGCCCGCCTCAGCCTCCCAAAGTGCTGGGATTACAGGCATGAGCCACCACGCCCAGCCACATTTCACAGAAAAGAAAAATAGCTATCATTTACTGACCACTTACTATGTGCCACACCCTGAGCTAAGTAGTCACAAGCCTTAGCTTCACACAATGATGTGGAGTAGGAAATTGAAGCAATTTGCCCAGGGTCACAGAGATAGCTAGTTAGAGGACTTCTCTCCACCAAATGCTAGGTGTGTAACCTCAGGTAAAGTATATAATCCCCTCTCGCCTCAGTTTCCTCATCTGTAAACTGGAGATAATAACATTTACCTCATAAAGGTGACTATGAGAATTGAGTTAAAGCATGTGCTTGAAGCAGTGTCTGGCATATGGTACATGTTTGCTACTGCTGTTATTATTATACCCAAACTTCCCCGTTTTCATCTGTAATGAGGAGGTTGACTACAAGGCCTCTAAAGATGCCCTGCTGGGTGATCCACTGAGGCTGTGGGCTCAGACATGGCCCTCACCACTGGAAAATGCAGGCTGCATGCCAGGTATGGTGGTTCATGCCTATACACTTTGGGAGGCTGAGGTAGGAGGATCACTTGAGCCCAGGAGTTTGAGACTAGCCTGCGCAACATAGTGAGACCCTGTCTCTACAAAAAATTTAAAAATCAGCCAGGCATGGTGGGACATGCCTGTAGTCCCAGCTACTCGGTGGGGGTGGGTGGGGTTAATCACTTGAGCCCTGGGAGGTTGAGGCTGCAGTGAGCCGTGATCGCACCACTGCACTCAAGCCTAGGCAATAGGGCGAGACCCTGAAAAAAAAAAAAAATCAAAGAAAAGAAGGAAAGAAAAGAGACGGACGGACGGACGGACGGAAGGAAGGAAGGAAATAAATGCAGGCTACTGTATCACTTTCCTCACAGGAAGATTTCTCAGACCATAGAGGAGAATATTACAGACACCCAAGGCTAGAAGTCAAATCCCCTGATTTTGCCCAAGAATAGCAACTAATTTTCCAGAATCAGCCAGTGATGTAAAGACAAATGCCAGTCTGGCTTACCATCATTCACCAGTCACTGATGGGCATCTCGTGGGACCTTTCAAATAAGCATTCTTCTCCTGCTGCCCCAGCCACAGGTCATGTCCTTGAGTTTCATAGGTCACCTCTTTGGCTTTCTCACATGTGGTGAAGAGTGGCAAACAGACTTTCTGTTCTGCATCTCACTTTTTTCTTCCCTAGCAGAGGAGATCCCACTGCTTATAGCTCAGGAAATGTAAGCCCCAACTGCAAAAACAGTGGCTGGAAACCTTTTCTAGTAGCAGAATTTTATAACTCACAGAAAGAATTCGGTCTTAAGGTCCCTGCAATCAGTGTCCAGCCTGATTTCTGCAGTGCCACTCGCTTCAATGCCAGGCATGTTGGATCAGACAGCAGGGAATTTGCTATCAAAACAGCTGGGTCTGAATCCAGGTTCTGCCACTCCCAGGCAGTGTGACTTTGAGCAAGTCTCTGACAGAGGCTTCTTCGTTTGTAAAATGGGGAACAAGAAGATACCTCACAAGGCTTTTAAGTGAGGTGTAAAGGCACCAAAGGAAAGGGTTTTGTCCAAGGTCAGCGGATAAAGACTAGGACCAAGTCTCTACATCTTGAGCTGATTTTCAACATCTTGCTTCCTTTTGGGAAAGAAAGCCACAAAGTTTGATTTGACTTTGTGTACCTTCCTCCCCTCCTCCTCTCAAGAGGGCCCAGAAGAGAAGCTACTGACCTCTTGTAGGAGTAGCCCAAGATGATGCCAGCTCCGATGGCAATGATGATCACCATCATGGTAATGCCCAGCACGTAGCCTGCCAAGGACAGGACACAAGGTCCCATTAGCCACACCCCAATCAGCAAATGACATCTCTTGATGAATCCCAACAAGGGCAGGGGTGGGGGACCGTCATACCCAGAGTTCCCAGGTCCTTTTTCTCCTTGGAGTTCATCCGCACCCGCTGGCTGATCCCAATCACTGGCTGCACAGCGGCCGCCTCACTCCGGGCGGGCAGGGTGTTGGCAGGAGCGAACACCTGCATCTCATCTACACCTGGCCCTTCAGACGCTTCCTCGATTTCTGTCGTGAAGGTTGGCAGGGCCTGGGAGGTGGTCTCTGGAGATGAGGTGGGAAACAGCTCTCATCAGGGACTGCCCTGAGTGAATTCCACAGCTGAACCTGGTCCGAGTGTTAGGGGACATGTAGGTGGGTCACCTAAGAACGTCCCCCCATACACAACCCAAAGTCAAACTCTGCCCTAGAAGCAAGATCAGGCCTGAGAGGACTGAACCATCTCGGGGACAACGCAAATGAAAGGGGAAGGCCGTAGGGAAGGGCCTCTCTCCTGCATCCCACGTCTTTATCTGTACAAATCCTTGCTATTTCTCAAGGCCCCTCTCGGTTGCCGTCTTCTGCAGGGGATTCCCCCCATCTCCACTCCAGGAAACAACCCATGCTTCCTCTGAGCAGCTCACATCTAAGCGTATGCTCTGTGCCAATCCTTAGGTGAGATGCTTCACTTTGTGCAGGGAGCAGTGGCTCACGCCTGTAATCCCAACACTTTGGGAGGCCAGGCGGGCGGCGGGCGGATCACCTGAGGTCAGGACTTTGAGAGCAGCCAGGCCAACATGGTGAAACCCCGTCTCTACTAAAAATATAAAAATTAGCTGGACGTCGTGGTGCACGCCTGTTATCCCAGCTACTCAGGAGGCTGAGGCAGAAGTTGCAGTGAGCCGAAATCGCGCCACTGCACTCCAGCCTGGGTGACAGAACGAGACTCCGACTCAAAAAAAAAAAAAAAAAAAAAAAAAAAAGCTTTACTTTGATTATCCCATTTAATCCTAGAAAACTGTCTTGCTGCTTTGGGAGCAAAAAGCCTGCGCTCTAGAATCTAAGAAATGTGAATTCAAATCTGTCCCCTGCCACTGCCTTCGGTCAATCGCTTAACTTCTCTGAAACTCAAATCCCCCACACGGCTTCTTCCCAAACGGCTTCTTCCCGCGATGTGTGTCGGGGGAGGTGGGGGAGCGGGGGTTGTGAGCAGTGTGGGTCTAGCGCACTGCAGACCCTCAGCAAAAGGTCAACAAACGCTGAAGGTCCAAAAGCCACTCCTCGGGGCGCACGGCGGAAAGACCTAGCCTCGCCCCGCGGAAAGACCTAGCCTCGCCCCGCGGAAAGACCTAGCCTCGCCCCGCGCAAAGACCTAGCCTCGCCCCGCGCAGTTGTTTACAAGCGCTCGCCGCGGATGAGCTCATACGAGTGGCGGCGGTGGCCAATGGGCTTTGAGCCCCGTGGCCTGGAGACAGCCCTGGCCAATCGGACGGCGCGGAGGCGGAGCGGGGCCGGCCGGCATCGCGCGGCTGCACGTGCGCGGCGGTTGTCCGCCTCTCCCAGTCAGCCCCAGGAGCGGGGATTCCCCAGGTCCCGGGTAGGTACCTGGACATCTCAGGTCCTCGCAAGGCCGTTTCTCAGGGACGCCGGCCGCGCCACTGACGTAGCACCAGGGCCCGCGCGGGTCCTCGTCCGGGTTTCGGCAGTAACTGTGATTCCCGGCGCCTAAGAGGGAAGAGAAGGAAATGTGTGCTGGGGCTGGGACCTGGACGGCGGCTGCCGCCCGCCAGCCCCGGCGCCATCCTCCGGAGGACACTTACCCGACACGGGGGCCGAGGCCAGCCCGCTCTGCGCGTCCAGCCAGTTGAGGCAGAGGAGGCCCGGCGCGGGGGAGGTCTGGTCCTCCCTGTACAGGTGGCCGTTGTCCCAGAAACAACCTGTGAGGAAGAGAAGCCCCCGGACACAGAGTAGCGGGCAGCGAAGGAAAGACGCCCAGCGTGGCGGGCAGGGGAGCTGGGACCACCCGGGCCGAGCCCCAGCCTGGCTGGGGGACCCTGGGCCCTGCTGGGCCTCCCTCTCCTCTCCTGGCAACACCCCACGCCCTCCGCCCCCTCCCCACAACCCTACACACACCTCAGAGGGTTGCTCTGCGGCCCGAAAGAGACGGAAAAGAAAGCGCCTGTGAAGCCCCTAGCCTGTGCCTGGCCCTTAGTCAACGTTCAGAGACTGTTAGGTTTTATTTATTTATTTTTGAAACCCGGAAAGCGCTGCAGAAGTGTAAAGGGTTGTTACTCTTGAACTTGTGACCACTTTGGAGGAGGAGATGGAGAGAAGGAGGCCTGGCTTAGGGTCCCTTTGAGGAGATGGGAGTTTTGGGACGGTGGGCGCCCAGACGTGACATTTATCCCTGTGTTGTAATGGTCAGTTACATAAACTCCGGTGTTTCTTCCTCCACGGATACGGCCACCTACTGCCCGTTTAACAGGCAATACTCTCTCCCAGGAGAATTCTCCAGGAGCCTTGACTCCGTCAGGCAAAAGATTCAAGAGAGCCTCAAACAGAGGAAACCGGCCTCATCGCTGACTGGATGAGACTCCAAGCTCCCACTCCCCTCTGCAGGAGAACCACAGGAGGAGGCTGGGGAAGGAGGACCACACCATGCAAAGGTCTTAGAAAGAACAGGGCTTGGGGAGTAGGGGAGATGAACCCCCAAGCTCCATCCACTCATGAGCAAGGAAAGGCAAAGAGAAAGTGGCTTCTTGCCTTTGTTCTTAATGGCAAAGATGGAGCTGCAAGCCCCTGACAAGGAAAGGAGGGGTGGAAAAGCTTTCACAGGACAACAGAAACCAGCTAAACGCTTCGTTTCCTGTCATCCTGGCCCTGTATGGGGGACTTTACCCCTTCTGTTTCATGAAGTTGCTGCGGAAAGGAAAGATTGTAATCTCACCTCCAGATCCGTAGGCTTCTGCTAGGAGCATGTTGCTGACGAGGAATGCTTGTACCCAGGCCAACAGCATCCTTGCCTCCTTCGTCTTGCAGGTGATTGAACGACCAGTGTTTAACTGGGGCCCCCTTTGCGGCGGCTCTGCCTCCCGGTCCCAGCCTTGCAGTCAGACCTGCCCTTGTTATGCTCTTCTGGTAAACAGCCTCTCTTTAGAACTGGGAGCTTCCCAGCTAGCTTGCTGCAGCGCGAGCTGTTTTTCGGCTGAAAGGCGCCCCCTGGGTCCTAAGCCTCCTAGGTCATGCAAAATCTGACTCTGAGCCAAGAAAGGAACTCAGCCAAGAGATGTGCAGGTTGTGCTTAGCAGTTTGAGACCTGCGAGGCTGCATCCCCAGGGTTTTTCATCTCTTCTGTTTCCATTTGTGTGAGTACAGAAAAAATAATTCTATCAAGGGGCATCATGGGATGTGGGAAATTATAAGCAATAAAACACAGAGCACTTTAGGGAGTTGTGCACCCAGGAGGAATTCATGATCTCATAGGGGGCAAAAATAAGAGTATCTGGTGGGGAGTGGAGTAACACTTTTTTTGTTTTGTTTTTTTTCTTTTTGAGACAGAGTCTTACACTGTCGCCCAGGGTTGGAGTGCAATAGTGCAATCTCGGCTCACTGCAACCTCCAACTGCCGGGTTCTCGCAATTCTCCTGCCTCAGCCTCCCGAATAGCTGGGATTACAGGTACACACCACCACACCCAGCTAATTTTTTGTATTTTTAGTAGAGTCGGAGTTTCATTTTGTTGGCCAGACTGGTCTTGAATTCCTGACCTCGTGATCCGCCCGTCTCGGCCTCCCAAAGTATTGGGATTACAGGCGTGAGCCACCGTGCCCGGCCAAGTAACACTTTATACCCATCCTTGAAAAAGAAAAAGGGCCTTTATGAACACTGACACTAAAAAAAACCAAAAAAACAAAACAAAACAAAAACAGTGTAACTTGGCCAGCGTAAAATCTGCCACATTGCTTTACTTACATTTGAGGTTTTTTGGGGTGTTGTATATAGTAGTAATATAGAAGGAGTATCTTTAGTTGAAAACACATGTTATGCAAACATGGAAAAATTTGCTCAGCTACATTGTAATAGTCTGCCCTTTCTGCCAGCCCCGAATTGTATAGAGGAAGTTAAGTAAAATGTTTGCTTTTTTTCCCCCTCACCCTATAGGGAATCCATTTGCTGTAATTTATATCCATCATTAAATCTCAGCATATCCACTTGACTTAGGCCTTTTGGAGTTAGGCGGAAGGACCCTTCTTCCTGTTTGGCTGACAGTTCAAGTTCCCAGGCAGCCTTAAGAAACTGAGAGATAGAGCAGAGTGATTTGCCAAGACTACCTTGTGACTCAGTCAGATCCCAAAATAGAAATGGGAAACTCTGTTTCGATCTTGCAGGCAGTAATATAAGGAGGAAAACAACTTTCCAAATTTTTTTTTTTTTTTTTTTTTTAGGCAGAGTCTCTGTCTCTCAGGCTGGAGTGCAGTGGCACCATTTCCGCTTACTGCAACCTCCACCTCCCAGGTTCAAGCAATTATCCTGCCTCAGCCTCCCAAGTAGCTGGGATTAAAGGTGTGCGCCACCACACCTGGCTAATTTTTTTTTTTGAATTTTTTTTAGTAGAGATGGGGTTTCACCATGTTGGCCAGGCTGGTCTCAAACTCCTGACGTCAGGTGATCCACCCACCTCGGCTTGTCAAAGTGCTGGGATAACAGTTGTGAGCCACTGTGCCTGGCCACTTTACTAAATAAATTTTAAAAGCTTTATCAGAGAAGAAAGCTAATGTCAATTCAACTAATCTGAGGTGAATTTGAATTCACTACAATCAAAGAAAGGATAGAGAGATAAATTTAATTCACTCTTTAAAATAGTTTGCTGATAATGTTTGATCCCTTTCGTCCATGTAATAAGATGCATTGCTTTGTTTTTGCAATCACTCTCCTATCTCCCCACCCAAGTTTCGGATCCTCTGCCTCTTGACTTGTTCTACACTGTGAATTACACCCTAGAGTCTGTAAATTTATTCACACATATACAAACACAGATATGGCAAAATTTTAAAATTTGGCCAGACATAATGGCTCACACCTGTAAATCCCAGCATTTGGGAGGCCAAGGTGGGAGGATCCCTTGAGCCCAGGAGTTTTTGAGACCAGCCTGGGCAACATAGCAAGACCCTCATCGCTACCAAAAAAAAATAGCCAGGTGTGGTGGCACTCACCTGTAGTCCCACCTACTCAGGAGGCTGAGGCGGGAGGATTATTTGAGCTCAGGAGTTGGAGGCTGCAGTGAGCTGTGATCATGCCGCTGCACTCCAGCTTGGGCAACAAAGAGAGACCCTGTCTTAAATTTTTTTTTAATTTAACAATTCCAATATAATAGGGATTTTTAAATTTTATTAATTTTACAAATATTTTTGAGAATCTGCTACATGCTAAATACAGTTCTAGATACTGGGAATACATCTGTGAACAAAATATTTGAAATTTCTGCCCTCATGAAGCTTATATTCTAATTGGGAGAGACATGATAAATATGTAAAATATCAGGTAATCATAAGCATTATGCAAAAAAAAGTGAAGCAGAGTAAGGGAGAGAGTAACAGGGTGATATTCCACTTGGGAAAGAAAGCATATACTATTTTTAGGGAAGCAGTAGGATATTTCTGTAGCAAAAGGCTGAAGGGGAAGGGCTCTGCACAATTTTTGGTGGGAGGGGTCCTATGTTTACTCTCACACTGTTGCAAGAGATATATGATGTGCATTTTGTTTCATTACATAAAATATAGGCTTGAGGAAATGTGAGTACAGTTTTAAATTTCAGAATAGCAGGAGGTTCTTTGAAGTTGATCACTCAGCACCTAATGTATTGCCTTTGTATGCAGCGAGGGTTCATTTATTGATATCTGATGAAATGCTCCTCCTTAGATTTTGAAGGGCTACTTTTGCTAGATTGTAATACTTTTCCCTCTGTTTATGGTAGACACAGGCTATAACAGGCCAGCACTTGTGCTATTTTCAGATTATCTACCATGCCTACGTAGGGATGCCAGTATTTCTACCTCAGAAGCCCAAGGCTGCTTTACCTGTTGCTGTTGTCATCTAATTTTTCCTATTCAAAAAACTACCGTTTTCCCTAACTTACCTTGATATTCAGCAAAACCATATTTTGTGTCATGTGTCTTATCAGGAACAGCACTGCCCAGAAAAGATACAAAGCCAGAAGGAGATGTTTTTCGGCTTAGTCATCTCTATTTTTTCTCCCCTGTAACTAAGACATTTATCAGCATGATTGATTGGATTTTTTGGGGGGCGGGGGAATGAAGGACTTGATTCTCAGTCCTTCAGAGATGTACTCTAACAGGTTCAGTACCTTTCTTCCTCAAGACAATCAGATTTGGTTTAGAAATGTGCCTGTTGTCTTTTTCTGATGATCCAGATTTGAACTTTGCTCCATTTATTGGGGCAAGATGGCCATATTTTATGACCCGTAGTTACTCCAGACTTACTCCAGACTTCAGATTTCTTCTGAAAATATCACAGCAATAATAATATGATACAGTACTACTCAAATACTTAAATTTTGAATTGTTTATATCCTTGAAGACAACATTGTGAAACATAATACTCATGTTTTACAGAATATTCCAGGGATGTTTGATTCTCAGTTTCGTACTAATCCAGAGACAAAACTGTGCTATGAAATCATGAAATATTCTCCAGAGTGTTTCCCAAGAAGGATGGGCAGTTCATTTTGTTAATAGTATATGTTAGTGGGTGAGCTCTAATAAGGAAGTCATAAAGCTGTTAAAAGGCTTAAGAATCCTTTTTGTCAGCAAAAGAGGGCCAAGGTGTTGGTAAAAATCTTTGGAGTAAGATCTAATGAGTTGGCTCCAGCAATTCACTTTATATGATGTGCTATAGAAGTAGCTACTGAGATTGTGCTCAATATTTTGGTGTATAATTACAAACTGAACAGGGATGGTTTTATGCAGCTTGTTAGGGAAATAATATTCTAGTCAAAATATCTAAACACCAAGGCTGTTTCTTTGAAAGTGCCTTCAGTGAGTTAGGTTATATCCATTTTGTGTATGCTTGGTACATAGTTTAGTTTTAATAAATGCTTGAAATGAAAAGCAGAGTACCATGTAAGGAAAAGCAGTCTAATGAGCCGACAGAGAGAACGGATTTTTTTTTTTAGGGTAAACTACAGAATAGCCAAGAAGGCTTGTCAATCACAGGTTGCTTTCAGAAATAAGACATTCCACACTGGGAACTAAGGATCCGTAAAGGCAGAGAACTTGGGAACATGTCACTGGTGTTGAGAAATAAAAGGAAGAATAAATTCTTGAATGAGAGTGGATTTTGATTTAGCTGAGATAGCATGGTTTTCACATTGATGAAAACACAGTCTTCGGTGTCACAGGAGGAATGCAGAAACTACAAACTTAATTGGTTCGTAAGACTAGACTGTCAATATAAAAGGTGAATTCACCCACTAAGCTACAACTCTGTCTCTCTTGGAAGGGAATCTGATATTCTCCAATTTCAGTAAACTGGATTTGCAGTTTTAAAATGTATTAACACCCAGTATGAGCTTAGTACTGACTTTTAAAGTAGGAGAAGCGGTATACCAAATAATGTATGAGTATAGGCTTTGGGTTTTGTTTTTGTTTTTGTTTTTAAGACAAAGTCTCACTCTGTCACCCAGACTGGAGTGCAGTGGCGTGATCTCGGCTTACTGCAACCTCTGCCTCCTGGGTTCAAGCAAGATTCTTCTGCCTCAGCCTCCCGAGTAGCTGGGATTACAGGCACCCGCCACCACGCCTAGCTATTTTTTGTATTTTTAGTAGAGATGGGGTTTCACCATGTTGGTCAGGCTGATCTTGAACTCCTGACCTCATGATCCTCCCGCCTCAGGCTCCCAAAGTGCTGGGATTACAGGTGTGAGCCACCATGCCTGGCCGAGCGTAGCCTTTGGAAATACTTGGGTTCTAGTCTTAGCACTGCACTATGATCTTAGTTCCTTGCGTACTATCAAAGGAAAAAAAAAGACTTTCTAAATGTTTAAAAAGATCTTAGGTAAGTTACTTAGCATCTGTAATTTTAGTTTTCTTAGCCTGTTATCATAGTGGTTAAGAATACAGGCACCAACATCAGGATTCAAATCCCAGCTCTCTTGCTTCCTAGCTATGTCATCTTAGGCAAGCTACTAAACTATGACTCAGTTTCCTCATATGGAGGGAGAGAGAGAGAGAAATATTACCAGAATCATTGGATTGTTGACATTCATTGATGCCTGAATAAATTGTTATCAGAAAGTTTTGTGAGTACCCCCTAACTTGTACTAGGTATAGGCCAGGCATGGTGGGTCTTGCCTATAATTCCAACATTTTGGGAGGCTGAGGCAGGAGTATTGCTTAAGGCCAGAAGTTCAAGACCAGCCTAGGCAACATAATGAGACCCCTCCCCATCTCTACAAATAAAAATATTAGCTGGGCATGGCAGCACAGACCTGTAGT